GAAGCTAAAAAAAAAGCAAATTTTGTTAAAAAAGAGAAAAGTTGGGAGGTTGTATCAAAGCATAGCTCAGTAGCTTAGTACATATAAGATACATAAATGTAGTTTCATTTGTCTGAGTACAAGGTTTTATTTGTTCAATTTTGCACCCTGTTTTGTCCCACTTCTCAAGAATGACTAATATATTTTAATAATATAGACTTGTTCTTGTCTCTGGCCCTGGGCATTCTCTCAACCAACTTCAACGCATCCGTTTAAAAATAAATAAAAGGGTCAAGTGTCCAAACTTTAGACTCATCGTGTAAATAATATGCCCAGTGTCATGGAGGGTTCAGTTGCATATTTCAAAGTATCACACTATTACTATATGACACATTAACTGTACCAACTGTACCAAACCACATTTTTTTAACAGTATATAAAGTGAAACATTTTACGATATTTATATCTGCGTAGTATGTTGAAAGACTGTAAAGACTCTGAAAGACTGGTATTTAGATTGAGTCTGGTCTAACCTGTTTTGTTGCAATAGGCAATACCTGACTGCCTGGTCTGTTAGTTCCTCTAGAATAGGCAGTACAGGTGTACACACACAACCTGTGAGGAGAAACAAAAAAGATGCTGAAGTTTAGGTGAAATGTTACTCCTTTATTTATTTAATATGGGAGCATATATAATATAAATAAAAAGTAAATAGTAATAAAAAGTAAATAAACAAATTGTAAACACACAATAAAAACGTTTATGGTACGCAATATGATATCAAAGAAAAACTATTTGTGATGTTTTTCCTGCTTAAAATTGGACACAATAACAATATCAATAAACATTTTCATAATTTTTAAATGTATTGATTTATTAAAAGTTTGTTGCCTCATGGGCAACACTGTACCACAATGGACAAATTGAAACATTTGACATTTTCATGCAGAAAAAATTAATATATTTATTGAAAACATAATTTTCTTTAACCAAAATAAACCAACCAGATTTATAGTTTTTAATGCATTTCACATCTCATATTTAATAAAAAGTAACATTTCATATCCAGCTGTTGCTCTATGGCAGGGGATTTCAAACCTGTCCTGGAGGACCCCCAGCCTTGCACAGTTTGTATATCTCCCTCATCTAACATGCCTGATTCAACTCATCAGCTCATTAGTAGAGACTGCAAGACCTAAATTTGGTGTGTCTGATAAAGGAGACATACAAAATGTGCAGGACTGGGGGTCCACTAGGACAGGTTTGAAAACCCCCGCAACTTAAGGCATCATTGTACCATTGTGGATCACAAATATTACCAAACCATCATATTAAGTTGTCATATTAAAACATCACAATCAGTGTTGAATCATCACAATGCAAAATCACCATAACCTTATCCTAATATGCACCTTATCCTTACAAGCATGAAGACACACACAAGGACCTGAATGTGCACAAGCACATGGCACCTCAGCTGCTTGTGAAAGTTGAGGAAGCAATCCTCTCAACTTAAAAATCATAATATGTGCAGATATAGTATGTGATTAACTATTCTTATAAATACATTACAAAATCAAGCAAAATGGAAATATTCAACTCAATTCAATTCATGTTTATTTGTATAGCACTTTTCACGATACAAATCGTTGCAATGCAGCTTTACAGAAAATTAAGTTTCTACAATATATTTAGTAGTAGTTTGTCAGTGGTGACGTCAAATTTGATGGCAGAAATGTGTGGTAAAATTCAGTTAATGACATAATCAAACAGACGATTAACAGAAATGATTATATGTTGCAATCAAACTTGTAGCAAAATTTGGTAGTTTATGTTGTTTCAGGCTTGGCATCATCTGAGGTCCTCTGAGGGGTTTGCATCATCTCTTCTCAGGTGTTCTGGATCCAGAATGAAGCTTGTGTAATTCCTACCCGTGGCAGAAACAGAGAAACAAATAGAGACATAATTAGCGTAGCTGCGGTTCCAATCAAGCAAAAAATGATTTGTTCAACCCAAGCTAAAGAATAATAATGTGCATTTGATCAGATATAACTGCAGTACTTGAATGCATGAACTAGATTTCTGCATTAGAAACAGTTAACATGTTTCGTAGATTGGCAATGTTTCTAAGATGGAAGGATGCTGTTTTTGTAACATGGGAAATATGATTTTCAAAAGACAAGTTGCTGTCTAATATATAGATTTTTGACTGTAGAGGAAGTAATAGTACATCCATCTAGTTGCAAATTGTAATCTGAGAGATTCTGTGTCCTGATTTTTGGTCCAATAAGTAATATCTCTGTCTTATCCGAATTTAATAGGAGAAAATGATTGGTCATCCAATCTTTTACATTTTTAACACACTCTGTTAACTTAGATAATTTAGAAGTTTCATCTGGTCTTGTTGAGATATATAGTTGAGTATCATCAATCTGAGAGATTCTGTGTCCTGATTTTTGGTCCAATAAGTAATATCTCTGTCTTATCCGAATTTAATAGGAGAAAATGATTGGTCATCCAATCTTTTACATTTTTAACACACTCTGTTAACTTAGATAATTTAGAAGTTTCATCTGGTCTTGTTATATATATAGTTGAGTATCATCAGCATAACAATGGAAACTAATCCCGTATTTTCTAATGATATTACCAAGGGATAACATGTATATTGAAAATAGCAGAGGACCTAGGACAGATCTTTGTGGCACTCCATACTTTACTGGTGATAATTGAGATGGCTCCCCGTTTAAATAAACAAAAGTGGTAGCGATCGAACAGGTAGGATCTAAACCATCTTAAAGCCTGCCCTTGAATACCTGTATATTTTTGTAATCGATCTATGAGTATGTCACGATCTATAGTGTCGAACGCAGCACTAAGATCAAGTAAAACTAGCAATGAGATGCAGCCTTGGTCTGACGCAAGAAGCAAGTCATTTTTTAATTTTAACAAGTGCAGTTTCTGTGCTATGATGGGGCCTGAAACCTGACTGAAATTCTTCATAGAGATCTTTTTTTTTGCAAGAAGGAGCACAATTCAGCAGACACAACTTTTTCTAAAATTTTAGACATAAATGGAAAATTTGAAATGGGTCTGTAATTTGCCAGTTCATTAGGATCTAGTTGTGGTTTCTTAATAAGAGGCTTAATAACCGCCAGCTTGAATGGTTTTGGGACGTGACCTAAAGATAACGACGAGTTAATAATATTGAGAAGCGGTTCTTCTGCTACAGGTAACAACTCTTGCAGTAATTTAGTGGGTACAGGATCTAATAGGCATGTTGTTGGTTTAGATGCAGTGATAAGTTCATTTAGTTTATCCTGTCCTATATTTGTAAAGCACTGCAGTTTTTCTTTGGGTGCGATGAATGAAGCTGAAGTTGCTAGTCATTTTGTCTAGTTCATGTGTATTTATGGGTACACAGTGCAGTTGAGATAAATCAAGCAGGTTATTTGTGAATCTGTCTTTGGTGGCTGGAACAATAGTTCTGCACAGACAATAACGCGGAGCCATATAGTTAGTCAAGAGATAGGAGAGATCTTTTTTTCATATCTGACAGTGTAACATTAAGCAGAAGTATTTCGAATGAGTTAAACCTGTATCCTGTTTTCTGAGTAACATTGAGAATATCACTATATATTGTTGCAACACCGCCACCACGACCAGTCTGACGGGGCTCATGTTTATAACAGTAGCTTGGTGGAGTAGACTCATTTAGACCAATATAATCATTTGATTTTAGCAAGGTTTCAGTCAGAGTACATCAAAACTATTATCTGTGATCATTTAATTTACAGTAACTGATTAGATTAGATTACTGATTAGATTACTGAAATAGATTAGATAATTCTAGCTCTTTTCCTTACAAATATCATATACTTGTATTCTAACCTAGTATGCCTGCATGGCCTCATTTGATTCTGTTACAGTACAATGTTTTTGTAATTATTTGCTGATATATTATGTAAAGGTTTTGAAAATACTTCTTTACTTACTTAGATTTTTATGTAATCACCATTGTATCCATCAAAAGCACTATTGCTACACACTACAGCTATACCCTGAGACAGTGAATACAATGATACAATGATATAATGATACAAAATATAATACAAAAGACCTGAAACCATACACTGTACAATATATGAAGTGTTAGATGACAAATGGGAAAATATATATATTTTTTTACCTTGGGTAATTGCTGCCACTGATTACATCATAATCATTGTATCAAGCATTATGATAGTGAGCTTTGTACAGTGTAATTCTAAACTAAAAAGACTGACTGTTATGCTTCTATTTTTAATGTCAGTTAGTTTATGTGTAGGTGAACTGCTAAAGAAAAGTTTTTTTTTCAAATATGTGAGCCTAAATTATAAATGATAAATAAATATAATAAATAAAAAGTAGACAATATAGACAATGTTACTTTATATTATAATATATTTATTAATAATAAAATGTAATATATTAATAAATTGGAGCTGTCAATAAAGAGGGGAATACACCAAATATTCTAAAACACTAAGAAAATTATAAGAAATTTCACTAACATTCCGCTTGGTCGTCGGTTAAAAAGAAAACCGTATTTCAATTAGGAAAATGTAAAAGATGCATTTTGACTGGTGGCTTAAATAATCTTA